CTTATCGTGCATCACGTGGTTGCAAAGACTCACATTTTCTGTTTCTGCTAACAGTTGCTGGTTGTGCTGAACTGGTGGTCATGTTGCAAGGTGGTCATGCGTGAAGTAAATGGGAAACACTCTCAATGAAGAGCAATCTTGGATGTTTTAGTGCTGCGTTTTCAGAATCAGTGAGCTACCATGAGCTTCCAGGTCTGAAGGCAGACCCTCTTTGACATCTTTAGTCAGCTAGCAGGTGTGAAGCTTCTCTTTTCTCTTGTTTGTCGAAGGCAATGGAAACTTTTTGTGTCAGATAAAAATAACCAGTGTGAATTCCCCCTTTTTGAAGGTGTACATGCATTTGTATGTACAATATATTTTTTGTTTCCGTGTCGCTGAATGCAAAGAGTCAGAGGTTCAATCTAGTGTCTCTCTGGAGTGACACTGAGCGGGAGAGGGAGGTGGGGAAGGGCTGTGTCTAGTGCAGTCAGAGCGAGTTTGAATCCACAACAAATACACACGCGCTCGTGAGGGACACAACGGAAAGGGAAAGGGGCCCGTTACTGCCAGCAAAAACAGCAGATTCCCGTGTGGTCCCAGTCTTTTCCACCTGGAGAGAACAATAGTCATCAGCTCACGAATTTGTCAGCTCACGAGTCACAAAAGATACAGCCTTATTAGGGCTGGAACAGAGGAAAAGGAGACATGCTGCCCTTAAGGCACACCCACTGACCTCTGCAAAAGGAGTATCTATCCTGGCAAACAGGACAGCAGAAATGTTATCCGGGATATTTTCGGTGCGGATCATGTCTTTGTTCCAGTTTAACCGTATGTGACTCTCTGAACTTTGCTTCAAGTCTTATGCTGGAGAGCACCAAGAGAAACACCTGCGACAGCTCCGTTTCCAGCTGCTAATTTCCGAGCACCAGCTACAGCCAAGCCTGACCCTGTGCTGAGAGAAACCAGCTCTTCGCATGTGTGGATAGGAGACGTGGCCAACAGATAAAAGCACAAGGAGGGAGACATATAGATTGCCTTGTGATAAGTTGTATCCTCTTTTTTAATCTGTTTTTGGCAATCATCTCTGAAGCTGGTCTGGTTGCAAAAAGCAGCCTGATTTTTTTTTAGTCTTGTCTTGAAGGAAGACAAATTTGCTGACATTTATTTATTCCCCACAAAGAGGCTGAAAACAAACATGAGACTGAGCAAGAAAGAAGTTTCCACTCCATGAATTGTTCTCATTTTTGTCAATGCTGTGACTCTGTAGTTCTCGACGTGTCAGTGCCCATTTTAGGTTAGAGCAAAGTTTAGGAAGATTGAGTCTATGAAGATAAAAGCCGAATTGAATTCAGCATGCACTACTCGTGCTGTTAGATCTGGAGTGTAATTCACAGTTTTGTTTTCTGATGAGCACGTTTAGAAAACTTGTTTAACAAACTAAAGTAGCAAAGGGAACATGCAGACATGAAAAAATAGATTTACACGTTTTATTGCACTTGAATATAGTTTTGGAAAGTTAGCTGAAACTGACTGGTTTGCACTGGTGCAAACAGCTGTAAAAGCCATCCATTCATTGAAAGTTCAGTGTTGATGATCTTCAGACCCCCTGACCTATTGACGTCTCTGTCTGGAATTGTGGGTTGAAAAACACCCAGTTCTCGGCTCTAGAATCCAGAACGTGCCTCGACCTAATACAGAAAAGAAGGGTAAATGAAGGAAAAGGTACAGGGCATTTTTTGGAAGAAAAAAAAAATTGCATTCTATTGTGTGATCTAGAATAATGGAATTTATTCAGATAGAAAGACGTTGAGATTGTTTTTTTTTAATTATTACCCAGCACTTTTGTTCAAACTACGCTTGCAACACCACTGTCTTATACTGTGTGATGCATGTTAGAAATCAAAGAGTACTTGACACAGTATTTTGTATTCCTTGGAATGACACACAAGCACTTTCAGTGATGTTGGCTTTTAGGATGTGCTGATGGCGAGCTATTACTCCCGTTGTCGGAAAGTAATTCATTCATAAAACCAGCCGAAGAGCTCCACCAGAATTCCTCTGGGCAAGTTGTTGGATTATTTTCGTTTTGTTTTGAATGCTGTTGCGCATTACAGGCGGCCTCCGTGCCCCTTCTGGTCAGAGAATGTATCACATGGTCTTATTTTAGGCCTCCCCATACGAAAGAGCTGTCCACTGCCAGTAATAACTGGAAAAAAAAACACAGCCGGGCTCTTCTGACTGGAAGTGAATTAGCTGTGTCTTTGTTTTGCCTGCAGATGCGCCGTGCTGGAGCAGGGCCTGTTCTCTGGCATGCTGCTGTGGCAGGCCTGCCAGCGCCGTGCGTCTGCAGCGAGGAAGAAGAGGCGGGGAGGGGGCGAGCAAGCGAGAGAGGGAGGGAGTGGGAGACGGAGGCTGCGATGTTGCGTGTTTTTATTTAGACATGAGGAATTTACAGGAGCCAGGGGGTTACGAACACATGAATGGGCCCCACTGTGCCTGTTTTCCCCTCCTGACGTCATCTGCAGCCATGGCAGTTGATACGCCCGTTAACCAGCAACCGGGTGCGAATTTACCTGCCGCAGAACTCGTGGCGCCGCTCGGGGAAGGAGGGTACGCTCAGATTGTGGCTCTACCCTGAATGCTCAAGGACACACAGCCGTATACACAGGCCACACCGTCTGGAAGTGAAAAACGGAACTACTGTAGGCCCCATCGTATAAGAATGGCGCCCTATTAAAACGGTCAGTTATTTGGTCACTTCATGGTGTATATTACGAAGAAAAGCTCTGCATTTACAGTAAAGTAAAAGGCCGGGAGCTGAAGTTCTGTGAGGTTTGCTCTTTGAAAAAGAGCAGCCGAAACAAGCTTGATTGAATCCCACTCTAAAGAAAAAAAACACAGACGACCGCATATTTGCCGTTTGTCACTTGAGAGCAGTCTGGTGTCTAGCGCACCAAGCTGCTGGAAAGACAGTTTTGTGAGGGAAAGGCAAGGAGAGCCCCAGAAGAAAAACAAGCCACCATTTCTCGACAGTTTAAATTATGATTGAAACATTATACGTTACACATAATGCTTTTCCATCATGGGGGGATAGAGAAATGGCAAGATTGTTATTAAAATGAACATCGGTGAAGCAGAAATTAAGAAAACAGGTGTGTTCATGGGTCCCAGAAAAATACTTACAGGAAGAGTCTCTTTCAGCAACTTTTTCATGTTGGAAAATCACAAAGCAGCAAAGCCGCCATCACTGTATGTTGTGTGAGATCTCGTAGGGAGCTCACGGCTTCACAGTGACCCTCTGGCAACACTCACAACAGGTCCCACACCACAACAAACAACATCAGCGCCGAAGAGCTCGTGTGTCACATCCCTGATGGAATCGTGTCTTTGCACCTTAGCTCACTTGGGGAGGATGTTCTTGAACTAGTTAAATGCATTCGTCGTCTGCCAAATGTGATACAACCTGAGTCATAAGGTTTGTGTCACAAAAGCGGGGTTCGGTGGGTTTGGAGGTGGTGGTGGGAGGGGGGGGGGCTCATTTTTAAATGTTTTGGATCTGATTAAAAGAGCAGCGCTGGAATTGAGTTTGTGGTCAGAAGAAAGTTGTTGTCCCAAGAAAACCTCACTGAAGTCAAGCTCAGTGCAGTCAGTAAGCTGCAGCTGTTTCAGATCAGTGTAAATATAGTCTTAGAATTGGAGGAAACAAGATTGTAGTGTTGGAAATAGTAACAATAGCACCTTACTCACTTGGAATCATTCCTTGTTACAGTGCAGTATTTTCCCATTTCTGATGCTTTGTGAACAACTGTGTTGCCATTCGGCACCTTTTCTAACTGGTCTAATTGATGTGCTTTAATTTTGTGCATATCAGAGCATGGGAGATCTGAGCTATTTCAGCTTTGTATCATCTGGAAAAAAAATTAAGTTACTGCTTTCCTTTCTGAAGAATGTTACTCCGGTTCACTCTGCTTAAAAAAAAAATTGCTTTGAGTTTTCAACCGAAGTGGGTGATTGGTTGACTTGCTAAACATTGGATGGAGTTTCACAGAAGCTGACAGACTGTCTTGCACTGAATAATCTTGCAGAAAATCTGAAATGACTTTCAATCGTGATATGAGACAGAGCGATTCTGATATTGCAGTGGTGTGTGGTGAGCAAGTTCTGTGACTTCTTATCGTCTAGAAACCTGCCACTTAAGACAAAAAATATATACAAGAAGGCCCTGGCCCAGGTGCTTGTACAGATATTAAAAGAAGGCTTTGAGTTACAGTGCAGGGCCACAAGTCAAACGGCACTTTTAAACACATTTTAAACCTAAACAAAATGGTTCTGAATTGTGGAAAAAGAAAGAGGATGTTCTTCTGAAACACAATCTGCTCTCCTCAGTCACCTGAATCCCTCTACTATCAAACACTCCAGGGAGTAACTCCAGGCGTGTTAGAGAAGGTAAAAACGGAAGAATTAAAAGCAACTGATGCAATATTCTGGCTCTGGCAAAGCCTAGAATGATCAAAGT